GGCGGGTTTTTTTGATGTGTGCGGAAACACGCGGCGAAATTTTGTAAAATTGTACGCAAACACGTTTGGCCTCCATAAACTAATTGCATTTCACTTTGTAACAACAACAACCATTCAAAAAAAAAACATACGTACGTACATACATACACACAGTGCAATATTGCCACGAACGAGCAGATTTTTGGATTCAAATTTTTGTTTCCTGAAATGGTTTCTGCAGCGTTTGTAAAAATGTAATCCCGATTTTGCTGTCTATTTTTATGGAATTGCATAAAATTATATTGTTTTTTTTTTTGTAGCAATTTTATGGCGCAGAGGTTTATGAAATTATTTCTCGTTTACATCTGAATTTCGGCACATATTTTTTTTTATTGGAGGTAAAATAAAATTTTCTGTCTGCTCTTTAGCACATTTTCAGGTAAATGGGGCTGTGATTCTACTCACTTCGATTCATAAATCCTTCATTTACTTGTACGTCTCCTATCTTGACGATAAATTAAAGGATAATTGTGCAAGTTTTAGAGAAAGTTATTTAACTGCTCAAATTTTAGATACCGGTGATTTTATTTGTTACTTCTACGTCTTTTCAAATATTTTGGACATATAAAATTTAGATAATAAAATGGAAAGATCCCCATAAATTGATAAAATCGTTCTGAAAAATGTCTCAAATTTAAGTAATTATTAGCATTATTTTTGTAAAAATCTGAACTTTTTATTTAATAAAAACATTGAACATTGACTTTATTAATAATAAATAAATTTATATTAATGAATTAAAAAAAATATACTAGATTCAATGACAAATAGTTAAGCAAATTGTTGTACTTGAAATGGTGATAAAAGTACTCCTAGACTACTCGGGATAAAAAAAAATGGTACTTTAGTGGAACGGAAACGATTTCCTAGAGTATCACTATAAACGTTCACACAATATACACGGTTGAACGACCTTTTGGTCAATGGGAGGGAAATCTTCTAACATATACAGATATTAATATATTTCTTTCAAGCACATTTAATTTAATTTATTTAATAGATATAAATATTCTTATATAATTTGCATTTTTTGGGACTGTTGAATTTCATAACCAAAATATATTTATTATCCAATTATGACCACTTGCCTACATGGATATACTTAGAATCGGTGGCAATGAAGAAGAAAATAACATATTTTATTGCACATAAGATACGCATCTAAAGAGCTGTCAAATTTATGTAACGCGATATTGCCACATCGCCTCTTCCCGAGTCCAGAAATCCGCTATTGCGGTAATAAAGTCATCTGAAAGCTATGAAATATTACTCTGAGAACGAACCGAAAGTTACGCATCTGTGAGTTTCGAAACAAATAAATAATCATAATCTCATTGGGCCGTTGCGATTTGTTAAGGTCACGATCAGCATCTATCTGAATTTCGAAAAAAAAAGAAGAGGGTTATCTGGATCAGTCATAAATTTTGATAGAAACAAAATATGATTTCTGGATATACGTATATATATATATTTCTTGTTATTTTCGTTGTATTTTTTTTTTCAATTTTTCGTGCGGCTTGTGTAGGCTCCATTCTTCCAATTTTCTACCTGCTGCGTCGCACGGTAAGGGTATAAATAGAGATTTCTGGTTACGGGGTTTTCCTCTGCGCTTCCCCTCCACCGCCTCTAGCACGCACAGCTGGTTATTGTTTACAATTGTAAGGGAGTAGGGAGGGAAAGGGCCACGGTTGTGGAAGCGAGGCAAAAGTTTTGTAGAGTTTTAGTGCCGAAATGGCTCTTGGCATGGACCTTATCATCTACCTGCAACAAAACGCACGCCACCAACCGGTAAACAGCACGAAGCCAAGATAACGAGGAAGTGTTTATTATCTACCCCATGCCACAGCCTAAACTAATAACGTAGACGAGAGCGAGTAGAGACGAAGCATCCTCAACGGAAGAAGTGTTTAAGTTTCTGAAAGTGATTAGAAGTTATTAAAAGTGCAGAGTGACACCATCTCCATTGGATTAATATCAAACTACTACAATTGCGTTCTGTTTTTTTTTTCTGAGGCAAGTATTGTGCTGATGCAACGAGGGTTTGAGAGTAATGGCTTTAATTTGGATTAAAATTCACCGTCAAGCTCGGCGTAAATCCTCGAATCGAACTCTGGGGTGCAAGTAAAGTGCAAATGAAGTGATCCCAAAACGTTTTACGCGCTCCAATTTAAAACGTTATATAATGGTCCGCCTTCGAGGACTACGGTAACAAACAAAATCAAGTCGAAACCAGTCGTCGGTGCCAAAATTGGAGGCTGCTAGCTAGCACCGCGGGCGGCTCTGTATTAATCAAGCGTATTATAACAAAACACATTCGCGCCGAGTCTAATGTTTTTAATTAAAGCCATTTCATTATTTCTCGCGCCAATTTCGGTGATTAAGTGATCTTTCGCGACCTCCCCGCCTCCCTTACAACGTGCTGTAATTTAATAAACTCAACCCCTAGAAGTCGCCAGGTACTTCGGGGTAGAGCAGCGAGAGGAGGAAGATGAGGCACACAGGTAGAGCCCAAAGTCAGATAACCAGCTTCGCTTCGTGCACGTGCATCACGCCCTGATCTCGCGTCTAAATCGGGCATCCTCAAAACATCCTCACTTCCTGCTCTTCATCAACGCGTTTTTCCGTCATTATTTTTTTTCCATCTTCTTCTCCAACTCGTTTCTTATTTTTAATTCGTCCGTGGAAGACACATGGCTTTCGTTCGTAATACAAATCTCGGGTTGCCGAATTTGGACAATCTAAACATTCTTTTAATTGAAGAAAGAAATATTTAAAGAAAAATATTAATGAGTATGATACAAATTTAAAATTCAATTGGTCTTCTTTCTTATTCTCTCCACATAACATGTAATATAATGAAGTGTTTCAAAATAGGCAACTTAATTAAAAATATTTCACCTAAACTTCAACCTCAAAGTTATTATTCAATATTTCTATAAAATTATGTTGGTTACTATATTGCATAATGTCAAGTTATTATAGTGATTCAACCTAGGTGTTAGGTCATAATTAGGAGAGAGATTTTTCTGGGAAAATAACCGATCAATACTTCCAAAAGTGTGATAATTTAACGCTTCTTGAAACACACAATATTGAGCGAGACGTTTTCGTAATCCTATCCAACGACGACGTTGCCACCCCCTGATGTCGTCCTCCCATCCCCGAGGCAACGACAAAACGATGCATACAGCAATAACTGTTCTCGCTATCGGCGTGGAATCGCGTTACGCGAGAACGCAAATTATCCGCACACCTTTGCCACCCACACGAAGACACGAATACCTTTGGAAACGGGAATTATTTCACTAATTACATCGAAGCCGCGTGCAACAGCTGCACAGAATAAAAATTATGCATGCCCGAGGGGGTGATTTCTCGGAACGACTCACTAATTTTCACTGCTGTAGTATTACATGTGGCATAAGTATATGAGCGCACTTTTATATCGTCATAAAATAGTTTTCCTCCACTTTCTTATAGTTATTCACAACGCTATACTTTTCAAGTGCATAGAAAATATCAGTTTATGTATGTGATGCTGTTCAAAACTATACTTTACTTCTATTCAAGCTGGTGTAATGTTTGCCAAGTATCACGTAATATGTAATTCAAACATGACAAGTTGTTTTAAACTATCTTACAATGCAATTAAAGTAATCGCATATATGATTTATTTAGTTAAACTATTTACGTTTTTTTTAAACAAGCATTAAAAATTTAATTAACCGATTTAAAATTAATCAGTAAAACGGTGTTATATTAGTTCTAATTGTGTTAATATTTTTGCATTCATGTGAATAATAAATATTATTGGATAATTAATTATTGTGATTTGCTAATTACGCGTTTAATTAAAAAGCGAAAATTTGTCCGGAATTTATATGCGCGTTTCGTTAATTAGTATTAGTGCAAATAGTATTGGATTTGTGGCATTGTTGAATAATACAAAATACGGGATAATTGGAACTGTAGTAATTACATGTTAATCGCATGCAACGCTGAATTTCTAAAACCTTTAATGACCGTCGGTTTCACTTCAAGAATTCACATTTTTTAATGTTCGTTAATTCATCAATGTTTATGTTTCATTAACAGCAATTTTTCATATCTTTCAATTATTTCTAAATTTTATATCTGATTGTTCTCATTAAATTAGTAAATAAAAAATAGAAATGTCTATTAGATTTTCTGACAAAAATAGAAAAATAAGTATTTTAGAAAGCTCAACTTGTAATCTTGTATTTACTATAATTTTATCTGTTAATGTCTACCTGATAAATGGATATTAAACCTTCATATTTAACTATGATAATATATTGAAAAAAAACATTATATTTTTATATTTGATTGAATAAATTGCGAAAGTAGGCTGATTTCATATTTATTAAATGTCTACGTTGTCAGTTTGTTGATGTTATAAATATTTGAGAAATGATTAATAAAATGATGTCTCGAAATGGGATACGAATTAAAAGAGAAAAAAAGAAATATAATATTCGAATAAGTGAATGATGTAATCAAGTCGAAGGAATACGGGTAGGAAATTAAAATTTAATTAAAATTTTGCTCATAAAACGGAAAGGCTCTGTAAATTTTGTTTAAACGTTTGCAAAATTTAATGGAACGACCTTAAAATCTAGCCGCGGGAAAACTGCGGAAATATAATGTGCGGTTAATTCGGACATTATGTCCGCACTTTTGCGTTGTTGCGTTGATTGCATTGTCAGAATGAAAATGTATGTTTTCATAATTATGCCTTAATGAGCACATTAATGCGCATACACACACATATTTTATTTATAATTATTGTAAATGGCATTTTAGACAATGCGTCGGTAATTGAATGGAACGGACGGTCGATAGTTCTGTGGTCCACAAATAGAAATAATTGTTTTGGAGCGTTGAAAATCTGGTTTTCAATTTTATTCAATATTAAAATTTGTTTGTTCTGGTTGTTTCAGGTGCAAGAATGATCTGAGAGCGAAGGAGGAAGATGTGCATCCGCGTCATCGCCTGTTGCCTGCTGGTGATCACGGTAGCCCAGGCGGAAGAGGCGCCGCAGATTTCGGACATAGAGTTCCGGTTCACTAGGTCTATCTACAATGTCAGCATACCGGAAAACAGTGTGGCAAAAACTTACGCCGCCCCCGATCCCGGCGAAGAGCGCATCGGTATCCCCATCAGACAGAATTCGCTCAGTGATATTCGGTATAAGATAGTGAGCGGTGATAAAGACAAGTTCTTCAAGGCCGAGGATAAGTTGGTGGGTGATTTCTGTTTCCTGTTCATTCGTACGCGAACCGGTAACAATGATGTGCTTAATCGCGAACGCAAGGATCGTTACTTGCTGGAAGTTCGGGCGACGGCGACGCGAAAGGATGGAAAGCAGAAGGTGATCTTGGAGACGGCCGCACAGGTCGTGGTCACCGTTCTGGATACGAACGATTTGAACCCGCTGTTCTATCCTTATGACTACAATGCTACGGTGTACGAGGATATGCCCGTCCACAAAAGTATATTGCGGGTCATCGCTGAGGATGCGGATCTGGGGAGAAACGGCGAGATTTATTACAGTTTCGCCGAGGAAACGTACCAGTTTGCGATTCATCCGATCTCCGGGGTGATCTCTCTCAGTAGACCGCTGAGGTATAATGAAAGCACATATCATGAGTTAACAGTTATAGGGCAGGACCGAGGCGCAATTTTCCGCTCCGGCTCCAGCATGACCAGCAAAGCGAAGGTTCGAATTCGCGTAAAGAAGGTGAACCTTTACCCTCCCGAAATCCTGATCCGGCACCACCCACAGATCGTTGAGAACTCTAACGCCGACATCTACGCGATCGTCAACGTGTCCGATCGGGATTCCGGTATTCACGGCGAGATAAAGAGCCTCGAGATCATCGACGGCGATCCCGACGGTCACTTCCGAATCCGTCCCACGCAGCGAAAGGGCGAATTTAATATAGAAGTGTTGAAGCTGTTGGATAGGGAGAGCACGCCCCAGGGCTACTGGCTGAAATTGCGCGCCGTTGACAGAGGCGTCCCTCCGCAAGAGAGTTATAAGTCTGTACAAGTCCGGCTGACGGATTTAAACGATAACGCTCCGGTGTTTAACAAGGAGATTTACGAGGTTAAAGTTCCGGAGATCGCTCCTGTAAATACCCCACTAATAAGACTGAAAGTTACCGACGCCGATGAGGGTAAAAACGCTCAAGTATTCTTAGAGATCGTTGGAGGCAATGAGGGCGGAGAGTTCAACATCAACCCATACACCGGAATGCTGTACACTGCGGTCCAACTGGACGCAGAAACCAAGTCTTTCTACAGTCTCACAGTATCAGCAATTGACCAAGGAAACGCCGGCACCCGCAAGCAGTCATCGGCCAAAGTGAAAATCTACGTGGAAGACGACGACGACAACGACCCCATCTTCGATAAGCCAGAGATGACGGTTTGGGTTGATGAGAATATGCCAGCGGGTTCTTCGGTGACCACTGTTCACGCAAAGGACAAGGACCGCGGCGAGAATGCATACATCTCGTATTTGATCGCGAATCTGGTTAAAGTCCCGTTCGAGGTGGACCACTTCTCTGGAATTGTAAAAACGACGGCGCTCCTCGATTACGAAAGCATGCGGCGCGAATACATCTTGAGAGTCAGAGCTTCCGACTGGGGTCTTCCTTATAGACGGCAAACCGAAATGCAATTAACCGTGCGCGTCAAAGACGTGAACGACAACAGACCGCAATTTGAAAAAATTGATTGCCATGGCCACATTCCTCGATACGTTCCCATCGGCTCAGAGATCATAACCCTCTCCGCCATCGACTTCGACGCCGGAAACATAATAAGCTATCGCATCATTTCAGGAAACGAGGACGGATGTTTCAGTATAGACACGATATCTGGCACTATAACGGTCACTTGCGATTTGAACGATGTGAGGGTGTCCGAAAGGGAGCTGAACGTCACCGCTACTGATGGAACCCATTTCGCGGACGTGGCACGCGTTCACTTTCAGTTGGTGAACAGCAAGCGCAACCTTCCATCGGCCGGACGAATCCTCAACGATGAAACTGGTTCTTTCGATTGCAAGGATACTGGTGTTACAAGGAGATTAACCGAAGTCCTCGCGGCCGCCGAGAATAACAACAAGCCACCAGCGCAAGAGGAATTCGCAATGATGCCCACTCGTTACGGCCACAACGTGCACTCCCCGGAATTCATCGACTTCCCAATCGAAATCAAAGTAAACGAATCAGTTGCGCTGGGAACGACGCTAATCAAATTGAGGGCACACGATAAGGACCTGGGGTATAACGGAAAACTGATTTACGGCATCTCCGGCGGCGATGAGCATTCGGTGTTCTGCATCGACATGGATTCTGGTGAGCTGAAAATCATCGGTTACTTGGACCGCGAACGCGAGGAGCAATATAACCTGAACATCACCGTTTATGATCTGGGAAGACCGCAGAAATCTCTATCACGAATGCTTACAATAACGGTGCTGGACGTCAACGATAACGCGCCCAAATTCGAGAAATCCCTAGCCAATTTCAGGGTGACCGAGAACGCGTTGAACGGAACGGCAATATTCCGAGCCAACGCAACCGACGCAGACGATGGGGACAATGCTAAGGTCACCTACTCATTGATGACTGATACCAAGGACTTCGTCGTGGGAAGGACGACGGGGGTGTTGTCGGTTGCTAATGCTTTGGATAGGGAGCGGCAGGAGTTGTATGAGTTACGGATTAGAGCCACGGATGGCGGTGGCAGAGGGCCGGATAATCCGCCGTTGTATTCGGAAGCCTTGGTGAGGATCTTAATAGATGATATTAATGATAACCCCCCGAAATTCAGTTTGCCGAGTTACACGGTGAAAATTCGCGAAGATATCCCCAAGGGTAGCGTGGTGGCGGTGGTTTCTGCCTCGGATCCGGATTTGGGTCCCGAGGGTGAGATTCTTTACACGCTGGAGGACACCGACAGTGATGGAACGTTTAAGATAGACCGGGTATCCGGCACGATCCGCACCACGAAGCCTCTGGATTTCGAGGAACGCCAAGTGCATAGTTTGATTGTTTTCGCTAATGATAAGGGGAAGCCGTCGCTCTCATCCGAGGCATCGGTGACTATAAACATAGTGGATGTTAACGAGAATTTGTACGCCCCTCAGTTCGGTGAGTTTGTGATTTCCGGTTCGGTGGCAGAAAATCAGCGTGTCGGTAGTGTTGTGATGCAAGTGAATGCCACCGACAACGATCCGCCAGGAGAAGACAGCAGGATCGAGTATTCAATACGGGGTGGCGACGGCATCGGAATATTCTCCATTGATAATAAAGGTGAGTCAAAACTGCAAGCACAATACGTATTTGTTCTCATTCAACTTTATGACTTCTCCCCTAATTTCGACATGTGCTCGCGACCCTTCCACCCAATTTAATTGCTCCGCACGCTCCAAATTTCGAACACAATGCCGATTCGAACGCCGATTGTTACCGCCTCAAAACAAACCCTTCATATTGCAATTCAAACGTCAATTAGCCGTCTGCTTGAAGCGGTGCCACGTCTGCACGGGTTCTTTTGCCAATCGAATGAAATATTCCGAATGTACAAAATGGTAAACATGTAGTTTAGGTCCCTGGAGATCTTTTAGAGCCGGCAGCTGCAATGAACATATATATATATATAGTTAACTCTAGGGGCATAAAACACGGGCGCGTTGTGCGGTGGCGGACATAAAGGAAGCATGATGTTGTTGGTGCAGGCAATTAAAACTTTCCAAGATAAAGTATAGCGTTGCATTAGTTTATCGGGCCGCATTTTACGTAACAAATTCATTTTGATTTCATTTGCATTTCGTCTGATAAATTTTCTAACGTTCGAGCAAAACCGCCCTCCGCAGAAAACCCGGAAATCTGCTGCCAACCCTTTGCCTTCTAAGCGGAATATAGTGGCGGAGTTCTCTGGAAAGGCGTGCAACTTTCCGCAATAAAATGGCAAAAGTTACGGCCTTGCAGCGATTGTACACCACGCCATGTGTGAGCCTCCTGTATCTGGCCGCTATAAACACATGAATAAATGAATGAACCGACGTTCAAGTATAAATAAATGCATGAACCTGGATTATTGCCATCCAAAACTTGCCCTAACAAATCGAAACAAAAAAGAAGTCGTATAACCTTCAACTTATTTATGTTTATAACGAATAATTAAGTAAATGATTTTACAATTATTATTTGTTATGCATAACTATAATAAAACAAACTTATATAATTTCATATTTATCAAATTAAATTTCATGATGTAACGCGTTTTATTCGCCCATTGCGGAGATTGAAATGTGAATGGACAAGCTTTTACATCGCTCGTAACGGCACCTGATTAATTTCTAAATTTCGGTGCGCCAATAAAAAATTTCCATTTTCGCACGTCGTTTCCAATATTACGTAATTGATTTTCTTATGGCGCCCCCAGAGGGTTTCTCGAATGTGTGTGAGTGTGCGTGTATATGTGGACTGTAAAACGGGAATTGTCTGCGGGATGCGCATAAGTAGATATTACTACCTTTTCCCGGGGATGAGTCCTGTCTGCACGGCGCAGGCAACGTGTTCGCTCGCACTTACGTTAAATTACATTTACATGAAATTACCGGGATAAATGCACGTAGCTCTCCGTATTGCGGGGTGCTGGATGAGGAGAGATGGAGATGGGTTGGGAAGGAGGGGGACGCGCCACCAACCCCGCAGAACCGATCGCATGGCATCTGGAAAATGGTTTCGGCCCTCGCTGAACCCTTTCAATAAATACTAAGTAGATAGGAAATGGAATGACCCGACGACCCGAATTTCCTTAAACATCTTCACTACTTTATAATTCACCCACTCGACTGCCGTTTTCTATTTTCTTTTATTTGAATTTTTATTACTATTTCTCGTTCCATCCACCTGCAAATTTTGGAGTATCTCTCACGCCTTTAACACTTATTCACCACATGTATCGATTCCACGTTAGGCTTCATTAAAACCCTACCAAGTCCTTTCTATTTATAACCCATCAATCCCTAGCTTTATGCTCACGAACCGAGCTTGCTTCATAATTAAAATACGTAATTAAAATTGATCTTTTATAGTCACTAAAGATAGCTCCGGTCGTAAATCAATTTTCTTTAATTTCCAATAGCCGATTTATTCTCATTCATTTTTTTGTGTGTTTATTACAACCATCTTAATGCAATAATAATTAAACTGCTTTTATTGAAAGATAATCCGCTCTGTGGATCTAATCTGACTATAAATTATATAATGCATTATACGTTAGTTGCTAGAAGATAGGAATTTGCCCACGGTAATGGATTTCCCCTTTGTGTTTCGAAACTGATTACATCGGAACGCTAATTAAAACAAATATAGTTCTATCTAATTTTATTTACTGCATCGCTGCGTTGAGGATAAACAGAAACATGTGCATGGTGTCTCGGTAATACCAAACTATCTGTTTGTTTATTATACTCGTCGTGTTTTCTTAACAAATAACTACAAAAAGAAGAAAAAATAATGGAAAAGGCGCTGGAGGTCGCAGCGAAACGAAAACAATACGTGCATAAAGAAAATACGTACTTGATCCGAAACTGCTTGATGAAACTAGCTTGAGGTTGTTTTTAATGGCTTATGAAAGACACTCGTAGGCGTTTACCATTTAGTTGTTATATGGAATATCATTGATCAATGTTTTATTTTTATGGCACAACCTACCATTCGATGTCCTTGAGCACTTGAACCTCGCGTGAACTTACTTACATTCGTTCCAAAGGCGTCTCTAAGCTAATGCACTTCGACACGGTTTAAAATCAAAGTAAAATATATGAAGGGAAATAATACAATGCTTTGACGGCTTTTTTTCCTTCTTCTACAACCACTGATGTCACACGTCACGCGTTTATGAATTTTATTGTTATTAACAGTCCCTTTTTAACTGTATTGAATGAAGTACGTCGAGCGAGCGCTGAAAGATCGTGGGTTAGGCATTTTATCAAGATCTGAACTCCCTTTCTAATAGAAAAGAGGATAAAAAAAACGAGAGTAATCACTGGATGGAACCGATTACGACACGCAATCTTTCACATGATCCGAATTGGATACTATTTTATTCATCACCAACTCGTAACCATTCATATTCAACATCAAAGTAATATTTTACATGTCTTTCACGTTTCAATTCTTATATAAATTACATTTTAATTACAAATAAATATTTTAAAAGTTCATTTTAAATATGTTTCATAATTATATTTTTTTAATATTTTTCGTTTTATTCTAAAATGTATGAAAAATATTACATAATTAATTTTTAACTTGAAGTAAAACTATAATAGTCATTATTTTCATATAAGGGCATTTTAATTAAATTGTTGAAATATTTATATGAATTTTCATTAAAATTAATCTCTCAAAATAAATTATTACACAAATTCATTAATTTTATAGTAATATGTCCGTTCCAGCTATTATATTTTTTTATTTATTTTATTAAATTATTATTTTTTGCAATGTCGATTTTAATTGAAATAATTAACTTGTTGAGCGATATACGTTTTTTTTTTCTCTTCATAAATTCACCATGTTTTATCGACATATTTTCCCATTTACTAAAATATACATTTAATTAAACATACACAATTATAGCTAGAAATTAATTACATTTTGATGAACGTCAAAGCAATTATCACACAAATATCGCTCATGAATTAAGAATTGATACTTTTCATTGTAAAAAAAATGATATTTTATTTTTAAATATTTGTTATACATGTAAATAAAATGCATCGGTCCGCATTTTCGAGCGACGGTATTTGTTTTAATAAAACGTGGAATTGAAAATGCAATAAAAAAACATGGGACTTTATGAATTACCGGCTTTTGAAAGTCATGTTTCCGCGTACGAAATTCGTGTTTTATATAATATTTTTTTATGTAATATTTTTGCAGCAAAACTTGTTATATTTATTTGCGAACATTTTTATTGTCCGAACCATTCTCTATCTGTCCACTTCAATTTTTTTCATGAGTTGATTATATGATTTTAATAGAAATTTCAATTTTGTATGCATTTTATGAAAGGGTCTTCTATTATGCATATTTTGTTACAACTGTTGTTACGTAATGTATAGAGATATTCCGATTGTCCAACAAACTTTATATCTTCACGTTTTATTCAATTACTCAACAATGACGCATGATAATTAAATCACAAAATAAATTTATGCTTTTATTATATTATCAAAAATTTCAAGATTTTTTTTTATATTTTACAAAGTAATTGGAATTATTTTTTAATTGTGTTAATTTGGGCTTCTAATGCGCATTTTGGTATGTAACTGTTATTATATAATGTTAAATCGAAATTTGATTTTGTTTACTTATCTTCACTTTGTATTTATTTGTTCGATAACACCACGCATGGTAAATAGATAATAAAATGTACATATTGAAGATAAAACTCTGGGCAACAGTTTTAGGTATTCTACAGAATGTAGATTATTGAAATATACATATACATATAGATTCCATGGCATTATAAATCAAATAAATGTATATTTGTTTCTCGTTTTAAAGGTCGTCACCCACCAGATTGCTCACGTGTAGAGGCTAGTAATCATTCATAACCGTTACAGCAATGGTTGATTCATTTGTTGCCTTGTTATATAACCTGATTTGGTGTCCGACTAGTCATAAATAGATACAAAGTTGCTAAATCGTATGGTGTTTTTGCAGGAAGTGGTTATAAAAGGCCAGAGTGTTGAATAAAGATTCTATAAATATAGAGATGCTGTGGGGTGGAATTTTTATGCATTTCGATCAAGAGTGGTTTCGTGATTTCGCCGTTTCTCAAGTGGCTTTTAATGGTCGCATTTAAAGAGATAGAAGCGTAGAACACTTGTAAACGATAAATTGAAATTCCTCATACATATAGCATAATCCGAAGTCGTCGGCTCTGCCAATCTCCATCCTCCCGCTGCATCCATCTCCGTTCCTCTCATACACAAACATACCAGCTGTTTGAGCCCCGCTTTCCTCGGCCTCGTACATAAATTCACCATGCTTGAATGTGAGCTGCTCCATAATTATTTGTGTTGGATGCGGTTGTGCAAACATGTTATCTAAAGCACACAAACAAGTCTGATGCTTAAATTATATTAAAAAATCATTTACTCCAGTCGCACTTGTATCCGATAGAAACGTTTCCCGTCGCGTCGCAAGGAAATCATATTATATAACAAGAATTGCGTTGCAATTCGCAAATCGACAAATAGTTTAGTTCCGATCGAAGCGTTATATTTTCA